AGAGTACAATAGAAGGACTAATTAAAAGATATGAAGGAGGCAATATAATATGAACCCAAAACAAATCAGTTTAAAATCTCCACGTTCACTTATAATCTGAACATCATGAAACAAGTGTCGGACAAAAAACACTCAAAAATGGTTTTCAAAAGAGCTCCTAATTTATACAGTATTTTAAGAAATGATAAAGACATGATTAAAAAAGAATTTCGGTTACATCTTTAGATGTAACCGAAGTATTAGGTCGAAAACATTTATGTTTGTTTAATAAACATTTCTCAGCATCAGGTGTTTGATGATTCATTAAGTATTTGTTTATTTATATAACAAAGTTGGAAAAAAATTATAAAAAGTAAATATTTAATTTTCTAATATCAAGTTANTCATGTTGCTCTGATGTGCTGGACAGGATCAAAGAAATTAATAGAATCAAAGAAACAGCTTCAAACTTAGAATATAAAAAGAGTACAATAGAAGGACTAGTTAAAAGATATGAAGGAGGCAATATAATATGAACCCAAAACAAATCAGTTTAAAATCTCCACGTTCACTTATAATCCAAACATTGTGAAACAAGTGTCGGACAAAAAAAAAACACTCAAAAATGGTTTTCAAAAGAGCTCCTAATTTATACAATATTTTAAGAAATGATAAAGACATGATTAAAAAAGAAGAATTTCGGTTACATCTAAAGATGGCCTGTCATATTAGGTCGAAAACATTTATGTTTGTTTAATAAACATTTCTCAGCATCAGGTGTTTGATGATTCATTAAGTATTTGTTTATATAACAAAGTTGGAAAAAAATTATAAAAAGTAAATATTTAATTTTCTAATATCAAGTTATATTTTATCCATTTTAGTTTTAACTTTTGTTACTTTTCATTTCATATATGTTTAAGTTTTTCTTAATATTTTTATTTTTGTTAAATTATTTAAATTTTTGTTTGTTTAACTTGTAGATTTGAATTTTATTTTTCATTAAATATAAAATTAGAATTTTTTTTATTGTGTTTTTATCTTTTTAATTATTTTTACAGATAGAACACTGCTTACATTGGACAAAAGCAATACATTAAAGAATTTGTAAAATTTATTGAGATAGGTTTACGTGAAGAAAAATTTTAACTATAAGAAAAGGTAACTTTTTTCAAGAAAAAACAAATTTACAGTATGTACTGATAATTTAAATATAGTTTTTTTACTTTCAAAGTTTTAAATAATAAAAAGTATTACAAATAATATATGTCTAACATATTAAGATACCCGATACATATTTTCACTGTATTTATTGTTTGATTTGTGACAACATATATTACAAGACCAAGTCTCACTTCATCCCAGAGACCAAGCGCCAATTACCCTTATTACCAAAAAACTGCAAAAATTCAAACTCTGTCGGCACAAAAACTCATATCGGTAGTTTTTTGGGATCGTAAGGGTGTTCTCTTGGTGGATTTCATGACAAAAGGCACTATGATCAATGCAGATTGATATTGTGACACCCTAAAAAAACTATGGCAAGCAATCCAAAATCATAGACATGGAATGCTTTCTCGCAGTATTGTGCTTCTTCACGACAATGCCCACCCTCACACTGCTGCTGCAATCACAGACTTGCTGGATTGATTTGGATGGGAAATTTTTGATCATCGACCCTACAGTCCAGATCTTGCTTTTTGCGATTTTCGCCTTTTCACAAACCTCAAAGATTCCTGGATGGGAAATGTTTTGGAAGTGATGATGAGGTGAAGAACTCTTCACCTCATCATCACTTCGCAAAAAGCAAGATCTGGACTGTAGGGTAGATGATCAAAAATTTCCAAACTAAATTCTAAAACTCCTGGACAGATTTGACAAATGCTTAAATAACAACTGTGATTATGTAGAGAAATAAAGTAAGCTTTAATTTTGTGACACCTTTTTATTAATAAAATATATTTCTTCAATTTATTAAAGCCAAACAGTCATTATTTCCTGGATGACCCTTGTATTATTGCACTAGAAATTCTTGTCAAGTTTGACAGAATACTTTTTATGGGAAAGTAGAGATCGAAGAATTGAGAAGAGTTGCAATTTCAAGAAATTCAAGGAGTGTTACTAGTATTTCTACAAATTAAGTAGTTTATACTATTTGTTGTAATATAAAGAGCAACAAAACAAAATTTCACCCAAAGTGGACAAAAGAAGTAGGATTTATAGAGAATTACACATATACAAACAGATGATGGCCTTTATATTAAAATCTTTCGTTATAAAATTTATTTATACACTGCTTTCCATCCATAGTTCCACCTATTTTTTCTGCTCAAGTCGAGTTGATGTTGCAATGCTGTTTCTGCAGCCCTGGACAAAGCCATTCTTACTCGACGTTGCTCAAGTCGGACTTCATGGTCTTCGGGGTCTTGGTTTTTCTTATTCTTTCAGATCTAGAATTTACTCGATCAATTTTACTCTTATGCTTTCCCTTAGGCATTTTTTGTTGACAAAATAGCAAGTTGTTGTAATTCCATGTTGATAAAACAAAAATGAATTGTATGTATGTTAAGTAGATGAGCGATAGTGCTTCCTAAATAACGGGATTGTTAGATCGTAACTTCCAATTGAATAATAGGACATCATCTGGTCACTACGGAAAGATTTTTGAAAATTTGTTATAGAAGTGACACAATGCTGCTATTTTTTTTTTTTTAAGTTTAAATTTTAAATTTAACAAAGTAAGTTTAAAATATGCCATTTCCCAAAATATTTAAAGATACAACTTAATGGAAATTCTGTCAAACTAAATGAGGTTGCCAACGTCGCTGCAACGTAAGTGAGATTACCTATCCAACATCAATAAAATGTTTATTCTTTAGCTAATATTTTCACAAAATAAGTAGTCTGTACTTTTCGTCAGAACATAAAATAAACAAAACCAAAATTTCATCTGTAATGGACAAAAATTGTAAGAGATATGAGGAATTTATACACATACAAACATATAATGGCTTTTATATTATTAATAATGAAATTGGCATATATGAATATAGCATATTTTTCATGCATTTATTTATTTAATATGCATTTGATTTATCATTTTGGATACAGTTGTTTTGTATTCAAATCATATATTTAAATATATAAAATTACTTATCCTGACTGNGATCATTATTAATTATTGAATTATGAATAAAGTGATAATTTTAAAATTTATAAACTTTACACTATCATGTAAATTAGTATGAAATCACTAACAGTTCAAACAAACTTTAAGATGTTGCAAATTATAAGCAGACACATTACTGCATATCATAAACGCATATATATAAATCATTTTGAAGTATATTTTACATTATCTATTACATGTAATTTTAATTGTAAAAATGTTTGATATTTGAAGCACAATTATCTCATTATTCTATTTTCTTATTTTTAACATCAATTTACCTCTGTTTTATGTTATGTACGGTACCATAGATATTTGTTTTATTTTCTGTTTATTATAGAGAGTAGGTAGGGGAAAAAATCTATATCCATCTTATCCAGTACTGATTAAGTTTAAAAATTTTTCAAGTTCAGGGTTTGAAGTTGTTTATATTTTAGAGAGAAATGGAACCAAAGAATCTGAAACCTTTAATCACTGTGTTTCTGCGATCATTTATTTGTAATGTACTTTAATTTGATACAAGAATGTAAATCAGTTGGCAGTACAAAAATAATTGTATCAATTCATAAACAGAGTGCAACAAGTTATAATTCTGTAGAGGTATTCTATTGAACTAAATTAAATTAACACAACACATACAAATGCATTATGTAATGTAATATGATTGTCATTTTGCTTATAATGATCACTTAATGAAATTTCAGTCAATAAGTAACAGTTTGACATTGTCTCAGTGATCATCAGCTGTTGACAACTTTAATGATTAGATAATTAGTATTGTGTAGTTAAATTTAGAAAAACTTAGCAATTTGCATTTAAAAAATTTGGAAAAGTTATTGGAACAATAATTCTTCATTTTAATCTTTGTCAAAACTTTATTGTCATCATTCCTGTTTCCTATTGCCATGATGATTTTTAGCCTCAAATAATACATCATCACCTGTACTATCCAAATTGTTGGTAATACAGTTGTTAAAGCCTTTTTATAATTGTGGCCTGGGCTACAATCTCTCATAATTCTACCGTTGTTGTAATTTTTTACAATAATTTGTGGTGTTTTTATTTCTTTTTATCTGTGTAATTGATTATGAAAATTAGTCACATTTTGGTTTCATTTTTCTTTTCAAAATTACTTTAGTTAGAAATAAAATTTTAAAAATTGTACTCAAATGGTTTGTTCTGAAGAAAGAAAAATATATGCATTGGATGTACAAATGACAAATTGTAACTTATTTGTTTTTTTCTGTGGATATGGATAAAAGAGAAATTAATGAAAGTTACAGAGCAAAATTGAGACAATGCTCTGTGTGCCAGATAGTAGGCTGGATTTCACATGGATTCTAGAAAGTGTACTTACACTTTTATAATTATAATTTACTCTAAACTTTGTTTCGTTTTTCTTCTTTTAAGTGCGTTAGATGTTTTTTAAAGCATTTTTTAATATATGTATATAAAGTCTAAAACATAATCATACCAAATGCATAAATTTATAATTACAATAAAAATTTACACTTTACAAGAGAATAAGTTTTGTGATAAATTTTCTGTAACCTTTTTTCCAATTTTTGACGATCACTCAATTAGTAGAGACTCCTGGGAGTTTACCAAAAAACTTTCAGTAGAAATTACCAAAATTGACTGATTCTGTTGAATATGATAATAACAACAGTACTCCACCGGCTTTCTAAATATTTTTTATTTTCAGTTTTATTTATTAAGTGTAAAATTTACAAACTAGATGCAAAAAAGAAAAAAACAGATTGATGAAATCTGTTTAGACTTTTAAGTATAAAAATGAAAATACGATTTTTAAAGAGCCGCACACTTATATCGTTTCGTTACGTATTTTCAGTGAAGTGCTTCAAGCCGTAACTAAAACTAAAGCACTGTATCAGAGGTGGTGCGAAGTTCAAAAGGATTCTAATCTCGTCAGTAAAGAAGAAATAGAATGGACTACTAACGAATTACGAAATAGTTTGAGAAGTATTGGGTGGGATGTGGAAGATTTAGAAGAAACTATTAGTATCCTTTTCGATTTCGGTTAGTCGATAAATTCGTTATAAAAAGTTAAAATACTTTCATTATTTTGCATGCGGATATAAATATTTTCGGTACATAAACAATGCTTCGAAACGACCAAATAATTTAAAGTAATATTGACAATTCGATCTCCACAATACTATTGAGGATAGTTCAAAATTTAAATAGCCACATTAGCTAAAATTTGTTAATCCGGATGCTTTTACAGTATTACCACAGTTTACATATTGTATTACGCCACAACAACAATTCTGCCAAGTTTATTTTTAGGATCATTGTTATCAAATTGTTGCATTATAATATTCAAAATAACCGGACAACTAAGTACTATAATATTTATTTATTTTACAAGTCCGAGGTACAATCCAGAAACGACAAAATAATATCTCCCCGTAACAATAAGCCCAAAACCATATAAACAAAAAAATAACAACCGTACAGTTTTTTATACATTTAAAAAAATTGGTGTATACATCCACGGATCTATTTGTCGAAGATGCGGCTCCAATAAAGGAGAGCGAGATATACAAAGCATCTCCAGTTGTGTAAACGGCATACATTACGGGTGTGACCAACCGGAACTCGAAGATTCACTTCATTTGTGATTTAAAAAACAACATTAAAAATTTTAGAAAATAATACTATCAAAATAAATATCCGTGTAGGTAGGTTTGTTAACAACGCTATTTACAAACCCTATCGAGACTCCCTTAGCACTCGATTAACCGGAAACCCGTATCGGTGGACAGTAATGTTCGAAGGACCGAAAATTTCTGAACAGCGAACGGATATGTAGGTTTATGAGAAATCGACTGGCAAAATTGCCACAATATTTACGATGCGGAACCGATCGACCAGCCCCTTATAATTTTTAATTGTTAGGCTAGAGTCGAGTATTCCCACATTGTTTACGGATTCATCAAAAGAGATGGGTATATTATTAACGAAAAAGTAGTACGGAGAATTTAGGTTAAAGCAAAACACGTGCGTAGTGTACATCGACAGTCAAAAAGAAACAGTAACCGTAACATCTTCCCCGGTTCTGTTTAACTCCTATAGAACAGAGGGAAAGAAATGGCGGCCATCGGTCAAAATATGATTTCCACGAGATTTTTGCATCGTTGGACTCGGGACTTTTCCAGGTCCAGGAATGCCAAAAATTCGGAAGTGTGTGAGAGGGAGCGAGATATTTGTTATCCAATCCGAAGCTCAATGAGTGAGCCGCGGGTCGAATACTTGTGAAATTTTGCGTACCGGGGGTCTACGCTATTAAATAAACGTGGTTTAAAGGTCGAGGGGCGGGAGAGATAGAAGGGAATCGCGTGTCGTATCTGGAGAAGGGTCGAACTTAATATTTGTTATTAGCGTTAATAATTTTACGTAAAACTCATTCCTACTCCGAAAATTAGGGTTTTGCTATGTTATATAATAAGATTTTAAATAAAACACGGTAACAGATGGCGCCACAAGTATTTTTAAACGTGGCCGTAAAATTTCGCCATACGTAAATTAATCGTTTAACCGTAATTACGATTAGTACCCGTACCCGAAAGACGTCAGATAAGGCCGACACCTTTTTATAAGTAGGCTTAAATAGGGCAGACTCCGGATTAACCGGATGACGAGATTTACTATTAAAAGTAGGCCTAACTAAAACTACACCAAACCGTAAACCGTGTATTAGGATTGAAATACGGCGATTAAGAGCAAATACTTTTCGAAAACGGCAGGACGGACGAAGGCGCAATTTTAGTTAAACTGTAGCGGGAGCACCGTTTAATTACATTCGCGAGCCGACGGGTGCGCCCGGCGCCAATTTACTCAGGCTGCGCGCCAAGTTCAAACAGGTTTCGGCCGGAAATTGCATTTCTAATTCCGAGATTTTTTGCCGTACGATTTTCCGATTAGAAGAAAAGTAACGGCCGTAATTAATAAGGTAAATACTTAATCATTTCCACTCGTCCAACGATTCTCGGTAACGGGAAAAGGCCCGGTTATTAAGTTAGCAAAGCGGAGGTAAAATTGTTCCCGGGAGTCGCGGTGGCTGAATCGTCTTGCGAAGTTACCATCTCGTAAGAGAGCCGGGCCCGAATTGGCAAATACCTCGTATCGTAAGTTACGTGTCGTAACTTACGATACGAGCGTCCGTTTTAACTGCGGAGAAAAAAACGCTACCTTCGCTCGCACCACAGATTAAGTAGCGCGTGCGGCGAGAGAATACCGAAATGTATTAAAACGGAAGTCACTAGTCACGTGGTAAGACGTTACCGATTTCGTCCGTTTTCCGGCGAATGCCGCCGCAGTTTCTCTTAACTCGCGATATCGGCGAATGCGATATAGATACATCCCGTAAGATCCGAATTACGGGAGAACCCGACGGGGTACGAAATAACGATACGTTTGAAAAAGCAGGTTTTAGAAATAACCCGGCTTCCCGTTTTGTCCGGTGCTCTCTTCGTTCGTTTTTGTTTTAAAACTGCGAAATACGTTAAAAATTGCGATTATACGTTTAATTTCCTCATTTTTCCTTCTTTCTAACGACGTAAAATAGCACTTTGGAAACTCCACCAGTATTCTTTTGTGGGTATTTTATTGCTGTTCGATTCAAAAACGTAAAACACATTAAATTTAAGAAACTGGTCGTAAATTATCTCGGTTAACGCGGGTTTTGTGCGAAACTTAAGGAGACGGCGTTATTTTTAAGGTGGGTGTAGCCCCCACCGACTACTGCTAATGTCGATAAGTCGTCGTTTTATTGTCCCGTAAACGGAAACTTTTTTCTCGATTTTAAGTCGGTCACATCTCGATGCTGTTATTTTATTGCAGAGGGAAGAATTTTCTTTTAAATTTTAATTAAACGTTCCGTTACTGGTTTTGTTGTGGATTTTAAAGCTATCGGCTTTTCTTCGTACGAGGAGCGGTCGTTGATGTAGGCTTTATCGGTGGTGGAAATGCATTTCGGCTCTTAATTGACCCCTCGTCGGTCCTTATATTTATAAAAGGAAGGTAGATTTTCTTTAATGTTACATCCGATTCATTTTATATTTTAGTAGCAGTTTAACCGGCACACCGATCATTCCGCCAAAAGGCGGTACGTATATCTTGGACACTTACGTCGGCCACGGGTCGCGTCCTCCGACTTCTCCCTTTCGTTCTTACGTAGTTTTTCCGGCCCGGTTCGTTTCGCGTCTCTCGATTGTTCGAGCCCTTAGTCCGGTCGTTTACGTTTCGTCTCGTTTTCTTCCCGTTTATCGGAATTCGAACTTTCCGGCCGTTACGGTAACCGAGTTATAAAGTTTGAATTTAAGTTCTTTCGTCGGCCCGGTATTATTCGCTGCGCTAAATGCCCGTCGTTGTCGTACGCGCAAATGCTAAATGCTCGAAGAAGGAGTTCGAGTAAAAATACGTCGCGTGACCCGGTTTTTAATTACTTCGTCTTCGGAAAAACACAAAATCGGAGGCGGTGCGAAATTCCAATAATTAAAAATACCGGGTTTAGTAATCCGTACGGATGAGGGTTATGTAGTTTTAATCGGTCAACGAGAGGCAGCGGCCCGCCCCGTCCGTTCGAGTAACGAAACGTGGAAAGTCGGACGTTTCGCCGCCGGAATAGACTAGGCCCGACGCGCGTTCCTTAACTCGGAGGCAGGCATCGTGGAAAACAATCCCAAGAAATTCAAACTCGAGGACGGAGAAATCGACAGCCGAAAAGCCTTCATCGTCCAGGTCCAGGCGGAAATTCAAGTAAGAGTCATTTGATAAAATTTAGCGGGAAAACGGATTCCACACGTCACAGACTTTAATTGTTTTTTATTTGTATTTGAAACTAGTATTTTGATCCTAGGTTATGAGAGACAAAATGTTCGAGAACAAAGAAAAGAAGACCAGGCAGGTAGGGCCACCCTTCCCCCCAATTTTTCTTTCCCGGGGAAGAAGTCATTTACGGAATTTGCCTATTTTTAAGGGCCTCTTAAGTTCGGGGTCGAGTCAAGCCAGGTACACCAGACTGCAGAACGAGATCGAAAGTCCCCTGCAGCATTTCGTCAACGACGCTCAACAGAAACAACAGGTAACGCGGCGTCCGTCTGGCCGGTTATTTAATTATTACCGATACGATACGAATTCGGAGCGCCAAGGCTTCGTTCGTCGGCCGTGGAATTTCTATTCGGAAACGTTGGAAAATACCCGGCAAACGTCGCGCGCTTTCGGTTCCCTATTTCCGGAGTATTTTACTTTACCTAATTTATTTTACTACGCGTTTTTCTGCCGTATTTTAGCGTCGACCGGCCGGAGTCGGAACATCTGTCGTTGGTACAAACGGAAAGCAGTCGTTACCGACGATACGGATACGAGGTTACGTAAACGCGTTAGGGCTTTGTCGGCGGCGCCGTTTCGCGGAAAAAGAAACTCCGGAGCGCGTGAAGGGGTGGTATTATTTGGCCCTCGGAATGCCGAGGCGAAAATAGAATCAAACGACGAAACTCTTTTCCGCGGCGTTTTACCTCCACCGGAAGCGTTAACGAGAGGAAAAAATGCCGGGACGCCGCTCTTAACATTAATTTTCGTCTCGACGTCGGCTTCCGAATTCTCTCGGCTTACTTTACCTTAAAAGTCGTATTCCGGCGAGGCTAACGGAACGCTCGGTCTTTTGGCAGGAGATCATCCACGTGCAAGACGAAGAACTGGACCAGATACACGAGAGCGTGGGGACCTTGAAAACCATGAGCAGGAAGATCGGAAGCGAATTGGAAGAGCAATCGGCGTAAGTCTCTTACGAATTATCGGTGGCGCGGTTTAAGTATACGTCTTTTTAAAAAAATATTAAAACTTTTAAGATTGAAAACAAATAAATAACCGCACTTAATCAGACAGTCAATACTAAGGTGTCTCTGGTTAAGTGCGGTTATAGATGTAAAAATAACGGTTATTTATTTATTTTCAACCTTAAAGTTTTAATATTTAAAAAAATTCTCGCACGACTTTCGGGTGCGACTACGCAGACGACTGACGACGTTCATCGCTCTCGTTAACTGCGAACAAGAGAGAGAAAGTGGCGACGTCACGCGTAGAAGCGGGAATTACCGCACTTTACGGAAGTAAAAAAAAAAAACGGTTCGACTACGACGCTTACTACTAGCGAAGAGGATCTTTTTTTACGTGTTCGTTACGAAGTAATCCTAATAAAGATAACTTAAACATAATTTATACGACTAACGAATTATAATAATGTATAGTTTGGAAAAACAAAAATGTTTTTATATATACAGTAGACTGAATATAAGAGAAGCCGTCTTCTACTCGTACCACTTCACACGCGCAGTATTCGATGACGCCGTCTGCGTAGTCGCACCTTTACGTAAATCCGACTTATTCTCGAACACAAACCGGAGAATTGACTTTAATTCATAAAAATGAAAACTTTCTTCCGTACCGTCCTCTCTAAATTTGAACCATTGTGTTTCCGTACGTCTCGAACGTCGGTGATACCCACGTTCGGGACGTACGTAAATGTGGCTTACGTAACTTACTGGTCCGTAGGATATTTCCGCGCGAACGAAAATATTCTGGAGAAACGTTTCGGAGCGAAGAACTTTACAAAATACGTCAAGGCCCAAATAATTACACGACTTTATTCGTTTGTATAACAATTTTATCTGGTCGGTCTTTCAGGATGTTGGACGACCTGGGATACGAAATGGACAACACCGAATCCAGGATGGACGCCACCATGAAGAAGTTGGCCAAGACCCTTCACCTGTCCAGTGGTAAGCTCTTCCTCTTCCGTGACAAATTTCCCCGCTTCCACCCGTTCTAACCGCTTTCTTTCCAGACAGGAGGCAGTGGACGGCCATCCTGGCGCTGTGCGTCGTCATGGTGGTGGTGGTGGCGCTCTTCTTCATCTTGTGACGAAGGAATCTCCCGTCGACGTCCGAATCCAGTTTTATCCACCTTCCGCTTGTACATAAATTATTAAAGATACCGATCGATTAAAAAACACGCCTTATCCGTTTTTCCGTTTCCCGAGCGCCACGCGTGACAAATAAGTTTTTAATATTCTTAAATTGATATTTTCGCGGAGGCGAGACGAACGAAACTCCGCGCTACGGCGACGTCAGAACGCCGTCGCGCCACTTGCGGCATCGGCCTCCCTCGATCCACCAGTCTTCCAGGCGAGAATAGACGGAGGCGGCGGTAGGCGGGTCCGAGTGCAACTTGCGACACAGCTCGCAAGACCAGTGGTAGCCTCCGGAAGTGTAGTTCCTCCTCCACAGGAAGTAGGAGTTGTAGAGGGTGCGGTTGGCCGCCACCTTGCGGAGGAAGAGCGCTAAGGTGTCGGGACGGGGAAAGAGGGAGGCGTCGACGTAGGCCCCGGGAGGAAGGAAGGCGGAGTAGTTCGCGCCCCCGAAGACCACCGGAACCATGTCGTAGCGAAGGGCGTGGAAGAACTTTTCGGTGACGTAGTCCTTGCAGTGGGCGTTCTCGAAGGCCAGGTAGAAGAAGTAGGTGCGAGAGGCCTCTCGGTAGCAGGCGTCGGCCATCTTGGGAGAGCAGGAAAGGTTGCCGCAGAAGCCCACCACGTCCACGGGCAGGCTGCGTCTCAGTTCCCGGACGTAGCCTTCCCGGTTGGAGTACGTGAGGCAGTTGCTGACGAACCACACGGCCGGAGCCGACTTCCCCCGCCAGTAGTCGCGGAGAGACGGAGCGGGCTCGTCGGGCCTCAGGCGCCGGAACCATCCGTACGGCGCGGGCACGTCGGAGTCCAGTCGGTAGGTGGCGGTCCAATTGAAGAGTCCATCGAAATCCCGAAGGCTGCCGGTGTTGGGAGGCGCTTCCAAGGTGTGCCACACCCACACTTGCTCGGGTCGGGGCCGGACCGGAAAGTCGGTGATGTCGGCCGAGTGAAAGACCAGCGCGTGGCTGCGGTTGAGCAGCGATCGGTCGGATGTGAAGAGACAGCGCGTCTCCCGGCAGGGGTACTCGGCGGAGAAGTTCAAATAGTTTACCTTTCCGAAGAAGGGGGTCCACAGCAAGACGATTTTCGTGTCTTCCGGATCCGGGTGCGCTCTCGAGTCCTCCTTTGTCAGATAATAGAGCCAGCACGGCAGCGTCAGCACGCAACACGCGCAACAAACGGCGAAGTATCGCGTCCACCGCGTTATCATCGCGCCGATCCGTTCTAATCGTTATCGGCGGCCGATAAATCCCCCGCCCGCTGCGGTGGTGACGTACGCTTTCGCACGTGTCGGTTGCGCGACGCGTCGACTCGGCTCTGACGGAAACGGGCGCGGCCCGGTGCCTTTGATCCGGACGCGTAACGAATTAGGAAGCGCGCGTCGGGCTTCCGCCCGGGCGTTCTTCAGGAGGGGCCCAGCTCCGACAGTTGGCGTCCCCGAACCACCACTTGTTGAGGTCCCCGTAGGTGGTCGAGGGCGCGTCGGGCGCGTGTAGCTTCTGGCAGATCTGGCAGACGTAGTGGCGATTGTCCATGCGATACTTCTTTTTCCAGTCGAAGTAGCGGTTGTAGCGCCGAGGGTCTTTGGCCAGGCCGATGAGGAAGCGCCCCAGGCGGCGGGGCGACTCGAAGGCCAGAGCGTCCACGTAGGAATGGGGCGGGGCGATCCTGGAGTAGTCGGCCCCTCCCAGCACTACCGGAACCATGTCCGTCTCCAGCACGTCGAAGAACTTCTCGGTGACGTAATCCTTGCAGATGGAGTTTTCGAACGACAGGTAGAACCTGTACTCGGAGGAGGCCTTGCGCAGGCATTCGCGCGACATCTTGGGTAGGCAGCTCTTCTGTCCGCAGGCTCCGTACACGTCGACGGACAGGGTCTTGCGCAGTTCCCGGACGAAGTCTTCTCGACGGCCCGGGGTGTTGCAGTTGCTGACGAACCAGGCGGCCATCCTGGTCTTGTTGGCGGCTCGGTCCCCCTCGGCCTCCTCCCACTCCTCCGTCCTCTGCACCGGACGGGGACTGAGGTAGACGTCGGAATCTTCCCTATATGTGGCGGTCCAGTCGATCAGTCCGTCCAGCGACGACAGGACGTTGGGGGTGTGGGGCGGGGACTCGTGATGCAGCAAGATCCACTTCTGGCGGGAAAGGCGGGCGGGGGGCAGGTCGTCGGGCGAAGTGTCCCTCAGATGGAAGACCACGGCGTCGCTCTGGCGAAAGCGGCTGCGGTTGGAAGTGACCAGACAGTCGGAGCGCGGACAGTCCAGAGTGTCCAGCGGAGGAACGTAGTCGGCCCGGCCGAAGAAAGTGGTCCACAGCAGAATCAGGCGGGGGTCGCCGGGTCGGCGTTCCTCCGTCGAGGCCTCCTCCCGGGGGCGGAGGGGTCCGGAGGGGAGGGTTCCGCCCGCCAGGAAGTACCTGTATACCAGAGCCAGGCAGCAGAGTCCGGCGGCGGCGAAGACCAGAAAACGTTTGACGAACTTCATGTCGGAGGTCCTCCTGAAAGGCCAAGAAGAAAATTATTCCGTTACCCACGTCTCGGCTTAGGTCAAAGGGCGCGGGAATAGGTTTAGGTAGATTAGCCGTAGTCCATCGTGACAATCCGTAAGTTTTAAAAAAATCAACCACCAAGAAATTACAGACCGATCATTTTGGCACTGGCGCGAATTCTCCGTCAAAAGAATTCGAAATTAGTAAAAGTTAATTTAAAAATAAATGCAATGGGGCAGTAAGGAGCGATGTAATTGCAACTATCGATGCTACGTTTGTATTCGTTACGTTCTTTAATAAAATTATCTATATATATAAACGAGGATGTTTGTTCTCTAAATACTCCTAGACCAGTGTTTCTCAACGGGGAGCGATATCGCCCCCGTGTGGGGTGTTTTTCCATGTCGAGGGGGCGATTAGTAACAATTTATATTTTGGGGACAAAAACAATTTTCTGGGCAATATAGTAAAACATTATATTAAGAATAATTAGATATTTTGTTCGTTATATCGTACAATAATTAAACAAATAACATTATACTAGTCACTAATCTATACAATGCGGTACAAATTTGGCGTTAGCCTCGACCCTCGGCATCGGAATTTTGAAGCGAAGGGGGCGACGATTCGTTAGAGGTTGAGAAACACTGTCCTAGACCGTTCGACCAATTGCCACGAAACTCGGCAGTTACGTTTATATACCCCAAACTTAGATAATGTCGTACAGTACAGTACATTCCACCCCAGATTATCGATTGGATTTCTATCTATCGATACATTCGATTTGTTGGTTTTACACGTCGGTAAAAGAAATTTAACGAAATAATAAACTAAGTATAATTCTTACAAAAAGGATATTTTAAAAATATATATATTACGTTCACTTAATGCGAAGTAGACGCGATATATCTACCGCGACAGTTAGCGCGTAGAATCGAAAGTATCGCCCAGTCCAAGTATAATTTTCCACATCTAACAACTCGGGTTTTTTCATTTCTGAACGACGGGATAAAACCACCGGACATCGGTAGTTCGGGCATGGCCACGTGAAGTTTTCCGGGCTTTTCGCCTTAGCAACACCTACATAGGGTCCGGCTTCCCGTAAGTCTTCCTAGGGTGCATCTCCCTCGGCAGATCGCATTGCCGTAATTAAACAAACCGAACTAATTCTAACCGGCGGTTATAATGCCGGCCTGCAATTTTTCGTCGCAACATTCTCAATCGTTTTATTGGTGGTCTCGCCCCTGTACGTCATACTTTTCTCGTTAGCAATAGAGTCGTACAGGTTAACTATCTAACTCCGTTCGGGGGAAATTTCGAATCGAAATAACCAATTGGAGGAAAAAATTATTTCCATTCAAAATTTTCCGAACGGACTTAGTTTTAAAGTTAATCGGGACCGCCCGCTCTAAGCTTTTCGCGCTCGTATTTCATCTATCTAACTCCGTTTTCGAGATTAAGGAAAGACAAACGGTCAGAATTTATAGGTCTACAATTATTTCAAATTGCAGCCACCCAATAATTTTTCTATACACGCAATATTTACGAGAACATACTACTTTCCACGTAGTTTATACAATTGCCAAAATTTAAACGCTTTATCATCACATAAAAGCAATTATTCTAGCATCTTTACGAGACCCGTTTAATTAAAAAAATCTTTCGAACGCTAAGGTTGGCAACTTCGATCGCGTGCGGGGCCTTCGCCACCCGTCTAACACGGATCGCTTTTCAAATATTAATAGTAGATTGGTATTAATTAGCGGTCGTCGAGCATCCTCTTTCGGGAGGAGGTCGACGACTACTTTTGGTCGAATTAACTTCGATTTCCCCAACAGTCCCTTCTTTCTATCGAACCGGACAGAAAGAAGGGACTGTTGCCACCGTACAGCCGTAACCGCCGTGCGAGGTTCCGGGCTGGGATGAAAAACATTCTTTCAGCCATATATCGAAACAAAAACGAATCTCGATCTTCTCGATAAATTAAAATTAAGAAGATTAAATTACAAAGGAAAAGGAGAAAAATAAAATTATTTTAATATTACAACCACGCGAAAAAAGGTAGAAATAGTTAGTAAATTAAATTCGTTATAAGACAAGACGAACAAAACCAAAATGGTAGTTAAGGTACTGTACCAGGTTCGTTCAACGCTAAACGAAAGACGACGTCGAATTGTATTCGTAAACGATCGTCTTTCTGGGAAACCGATCTAATCTAATTTCACCCGGTAACGGAAAAAGACCAATCCGGGACCGAGAAAGAAGATTAATAACCAATAAAGTGACGATTTGCGAGACGAAGAAATATTTAAACCCAGACCACGAGGATACTCGATTCTTTGCCGCGGCATCCCGCGAGACTATCTATGTCCCTGACCGGTACGCTTATCCCCAGGTTCCACCTTCGTCCTTAGCCGACGTATCCTCCGAAAGTTATAGACCTTCGTCGAAAGAAACTTCGAAAATTCCGATCCGCATTCACCAGACATCGTTTCCCGTTCGACGACTCGTCTTACAATGCCACATCCGGTCGGCGAAAGGAAACCACCTTCGTCACCGGACTTTCTTCTTCTCTTTGAAGACTACGCGCCGAAGTATACGAGGACTTAAACCCTTCGTGACTATGAACTTTTTGTAAGTAAACTGTCTAATAAACGGCTCGTGTTATTTGTAAACGAGCCATCTATCTCCGATTCGACTGCTCCCACGTGACGTCGATTGTTACCGCCGGGCAGTCCAGACGGCAACGGAGACGACGACGATATATATATATATATCGCGTATTATCGTTAACCCTTTTTTTTTTTTTTAATTTACCCCTCGGCCCCACATTCGTATAGAAAAATTGCATAATAGGAGGTTACCGGATGGCACAAAATATGTGGTTTTCCGGGGTGCCGAATTTAAACATTTGATGCGTTTTTTGCGAAATTCGATCGGTCTGCTTTAAGAGTTAAGATCGATATCTTAACTGTTAAGAAACTGTAAGCTACCAGTTATTCTTTTAATCACCATAACAGTGTATTTCTATTAATAGGACTTATTATACTGGTGTATAAGATTACAGCAACTCAGTCACACAGATTAAAACACAGGTAATTGTAAATAAAACAATTTTAATCTGTGTGACCGAGTTGCTGTAATCTTATACACCAGTATAATAAGTCCTATTAATAGAAATACACTGTTATGGTGATTAAAAGAATAACTAGTTGAATTAAGGACATTGATGCTTATTAATTAACTGTAAGCTACCATTGGCAGTCGAATATCAAACGGTAATCGGCCAATCAAACAAATTAGAAGAATTAGGGTTAAAAGTACGAAATAATCTTAATCTTTGCTATTATGTTTCGCCCGGAAAACGCTGGGCTCATTCGCTAGTGTTATAATAAAATTACAAAAATACGACAAAGTGACCAGATGCGAACTTAAAAAAACACATTGGGCTACAAGTGCCAGATATTTTACATTTAGACAATACTCGACAAAAATTTTTTCAACGTGCGTAAAGATTAATTTGCAGAAATAACGTAAGCGAGCGCAGATAGAATGAAAATAACTAAAAACTTCCGACCCGTCTGTTCTATAATATTCCTCACATTTTACAACACCGAAGACCCAATGTTGTCCTGGACGAGAAAATAAATTTTATATACAAACTGCTAAATTTTTTCTTTGTATAAATTGTTTAATTACTTAAAACTAACGTAAAAATCCGGTCAAAATACTTTCTTGCATAAAATAATTGATGTACGGTGTCTGAAGGAGTTGAGCGCTTGTGGACAGATTGATATTCATAAAATTTAATAAAGGGATAAAAAAGTAATTAAAATTTTTCTCATCAAAAAATAGTTTACTAGAATAGATACATTTTTACGAGTTTTCTGTAACGAAATTTCGTGCTTAAGTGAAAAGATCTGTAAAGTACGAATAATGTCTTTTTGGAATTTAAATTACATATTACTCCTGCTAAAAACGACATAAAATATATAATGTTTTAAGCTTTCGTTCAAACTCCTTAGGTTTAAGTATCAAATTGTATAATTTTTTAAGTTTCTAAGAATAATACCAGGTGACTGGGGTTTACTCCGAAAGTGTTGCGATACGAGAAAACTATTTGTGAAGAATTAAAAATGTTTATTTTTTAATAATAAATTTCGTATGGCATATTATGCGTAAACAAATTTCATCAATCTCGATCTAAATGAGACACGCCTCTTTCTAATAGTAACGATGTAACTTTCTAGAAAAACACTTTGTACAATGATTTACTGTGATTTTTGTGATAGACTGAATGACAAAGACTTATAAATGATTGAAATTGCTCCATCCTTTACTTTTGTGTTCGGATGGTACAAACAATTTCAGAGGGGATGTATTTCCTTCCGTGTGAAGGGCGACTACCAATAGCGAGTAACTCCTAAAAATAACTACTGTCCAATGTATGATTGCGGAAGACCAAAAATGTACTTACGAAATGATACGGGAGAAACTACAGATTGGAACCTCTGCAGTTGCAGACATTCTGCGTAAGGAGTAACTCGTACAGAACGTCTGCAACTGTTTAAAAAAAGAGTCTCGACGAGTCGACGGATTTCCAAAAGTCAGAGCGTGTCCGTCTCTAAGAAAACTCTGGAAATGTTAAACCGAGATGGACACCAGATTATTTCCAAGATTGTCACGGGTCAGAAGACATACTGTACAGTACGTACCGTTCTATGACTGTCTCGCGTGTCAAGAAAGTCAGATATGGATCCATAAAGGTGATCCAATTCCAACAACTGTGAAAAGGCAGAGAGCAATAAAAAATGTCACATTTGCTGTTTTTTTTCAGTAGCACTGGTCTGGCAAAAGCAATTAAGCTTGATGAACAGAAGACAGTAATGGCTAATTGGTACACTACAATCTGTCTTCTTGGAATTCTGGAGTAAGTGAAAATTTGAGATCAAATTTTGCATGGTGATAATCCTTCATCACACACTGCCAAGAAAACTAATGATTTCTTT